TATTTATAATGAATTTTAATAATTTTTTCGGATTTTTTTGAAGCTTTATTCTGACCGATTCACCCGATTCCGATCCGGACCGCCGATTCGTCGATCCGGATCGCCGATTCGCCGATCCGGATCGGTTTTTGAAAAGCCCGATCCGGGTCACCGATCCGGTTTTTAAACCATTGGGGAGAACACATAAAGCTTTCCCGTTTTGAATCAATTGTTTGTTTTGGGTTTGTATTTTATTATTATTATGTACACCATTTGCACATCTGCCATCCGTTTCCCCAACAATGGATGGAAAAGATCAGATGTACCCAGTTGATCTAATATCCACTGTGTTACATATATTTTATGTTTAAAAGGTTTCTAGCCCACAAAAAGTGGGGATCTATTTTATGGGCAATAAAAAACTGCAAAAGGGTAATTTTGAAAAGAGAAAAAAAAATTATAGATAAGGTTTCTGATTGTAGGAGTCATTTCTAAAAAAAATTTTGTTTGTTTCTTTCTAGGTTTTTTGCCGTGCAAAACTTATACAAGTATTTTCTTCCAAAAATATAAGATTTGGGGATCCAACAATGTTTGAAACTATTGAAACCTTATATTTTCTTTTTTTTCTCGTTACCAAATCCTCAAAGTATGGTTAATTAATTTGGAAATAACTACTGTAATGTTTTATTACATGATAGATTTCATTAGTGCCTCCTGGTTTTCCCTTTCTTGGGAGGGGCTTTCACGTAAATCTTACTGTTACGGTTGGTATCTAATTTCTTACAAATTTACATATTTTTATTTATTTGAGGTTTGATAAGGCGTCGCTTCCCTATAGTCTGAACCAATGGTTTAAAAAACGGATCGGTGACCCTGATCGGGCTTCCAAAAAACCGATCCGGATCGGTGAATCGGCGATCCTGATCGAGAATCGGGGAATCGGTCAGAATAAAGCTTAAAAAAAATTCGAAAAAAATTATTAAAATTCATTATAAATATTGTTTTTTAGAAATTCAATAAAAAATGAAGGTACTCCATTAAGACTTTTCATGTTTTTGAATGAATATGCGAATATTGATATGTTCTTTCCCTGCATGAACCGCCATTCAGCATTTAATTTACAGTATTTCGTGCTCATCCCTACACTGTTGCTGTTGGGACTCGATATGTGAATAATATGGCTGAGATAGGGTGGCCTCAGAATC